ACGTGAAGTTCATATATTCCAACCAAGCAGGAATGGGTAGGTATTAGAACTCCTACTGTGAGTCATGTCTCAATCCAGGAGGCCTTGAAAAGAACATGGCATGCAACACGGCATGCCCTCCACTCTCCACACGTGTTTAGCTTTGGGTAGTGAATTTCAAGAGGGATTTTAGGCCACTTGGAAAGAGTCCAAAGGGGAATGATAATGCAGTCTAGAAAACATGAGCTTCAAGGGAGCTACAATTGTCCGATCTAAAGAAAAATAAATAATGCAGTGAGATTCTGGAAAGAACAAGAAATAAGACTATCTTCATGGGATAAACTAGATCATAGGGATGGGAGTCAGTTGCCTAAATAAGCTCAGATGTTCTCTGAAAGACCATAGACTAGCCCAAATTGCCTCTACCTGCCATTCTGTCGAACAAGTGTTCTGTGGCTCCTTTGCAATATTCAGCAGGATGTCTCATGCTTCTTACCATTTCTGAAACTGTTCAAGACATGTCTCTTCAGACAGTAAGGTTATCTTGAGGTTTTTTAGGTCACATCTGAGGCAAGTTGTTCAGGATCCAGGCCTTCTGGCTATGTCTATATCGGTAACCTCAGTGGGGCTGGAGTGGGGGCATGAGTTCTGCCTTCCAATGGGCTATATTGCTAAAACTGTGAGTACAGACTTGGAGGATGTCCCTCATGTGACTGGGATTTGGTCTCAGGTATTGTTCTAAAGAGGCTGTTGAGAGACAGCCACTCAGTTTGGAGGGAGTTCGGATGTCTGGAGAAACAGTCACATGCATGTGAAAGCGCAGACTGACGCTGAAGGTGAATATTGGCTGTCTCTTCTCTTCCATAGGGAAGTCTCTCTTTGTGAACAATATCCTCCAGAAGATCGGTATCCAGCTCCGTGATTTACCAGTGGTTCACAAAACTATTAGGCTGATGGAGTCAGAGATTGATTTCCAGTTCCTTCTGGAGGAGCTACTCTCTGTTGAGGAATTCCCAACTGAAACTCAGCCCACCGTCTTCCATATTGATGTGTCACCAGTGGTGAGAGCCTTTGTCTTAGTGTTAAACATAGTGCCCAAGACCTCACAGGCTTTTTAGAGGAGGGTATTTGCACAGCCTCTTGTGCTGGCTTATTCTCACCTACAGTAGTAGCAGCAGGTGCTTAAAAGTTAAAGTGAACAAAAGGAGTTCTGCATACAGTTTAGAAGCTCAGGTGCCTGCATTTGGCTTGTTCCATGCCTAAGGTAGGGAATCTGTGTGAAGTGGGTCCCATTTTATAAAGCAATCTTTCTCTTACAGTGATATTCATCAGAGTGTAAGGTAGAGGAGATTCACTGAATTCAAACCAAATGATCATAGAAGCCCCCATTCACAGGAAGAAGTGCATTCTCCACCTCACATCCAGTCTGGTACTTCTCTGGAAGGGACTTTATTTAAAGAAAGGTAGTGAGTTGGCTTAAGCAGAGGGTAGATTTGGACAGCCTAGTCTTTCCTTGGAAGGCTGCAGAGCACCGAGTATCCAATCATATTAAGTTACAGCTGTCTCAGTGTGTGCTAGAATAGCAATCCTGCACAAAAATGGGAGAAAAGCTGTAGCTTGGCTTCGGGTACTGCTATGTGCTGTGAGTAGTGAAGTGTGTTTTGATAGACATCTCTTTCACCAGTTTTAAAATGTTTCTTCCCTTTCAGGTGTCATCAGGTCTCTACCGGCTACTGATTGAGCTGTGTGTCCTAAGACACCTCCAGAGTCCCACTGGCTCTATCTGGAAGTGCAAATCCTCTCATCTTTACTTAATTGAGTACCTGGCAAAAGGGAAATGTTTTAGCAGAACAAGAAAACAAGAGGTATTGTTCTGGGAATGGTGTGCTCAGGTCAGAGGAATAGTAATGAAGGATGCTAGCATAACTAGATCTGCCCCTGCAGTCAGTCTGCTAAAATCCAAAGTCTCTTTTAAAGCTGTGCATAATTTAAGGTCCATGTCCCTAGTGGAATGATGGCTCATCTACACAGAAACAAGCAGTCCCAGCATGTGTTTACTCTCAAAAGGAAATATTAGGCACTGTGCAGGGTTTGGAGTTCTTTTCAGTTCATTCCTAGTGTAACATAGAAATCCCATGTGTTCAAAAAATGATAGAAGTCTCATATATGACAAATGAGGGAGGACACTCTAAAAGAGGAAATTAGGGATGTGATGGAGAGTTAGAACATCCTGAGTAGCCGGGAGGGCGTAAGGAGGTATCAAGCATCCACCATCTGTTCCAGCACAAGAACCAGGAGTATCACACAATGTTAACAAGACAGCTTAGAAGAAATGGAAAGGGATTGATTCTTCATGGTATGGGTCATAAAACCTATACGGGTTCTTTCCAAACGGGGCTGTGGGTGCCCGCTTTGGCAGACTGACACAGGTACAAGGTGAGTCTGGGTGAGTATTTGGAAGGGAAAGCGATGGTGGCTTACTAACTAGGGAAAGCAGGTGAAGATGGAAAGTTCTCTGTGCTTAAACCTGTCTGTCTGGCAGATTATTTGGTGGGTGGAAATAATCATGCTTGCTCTATTCTAGCTTTTCACTGGACATTCACTTGGCACCAGGACCTTACAGGTTATGGGCATGTCAGTATATGTCCACGAACATGTATGCAGCCTTAGCCAAATTTGATCTACATATGATTTTCCCAGCTTCCTGACCTATTTGGGTTTAAACTGTAGGCAAATGCATAAATGAAGGAGGTTGGGCAACTGTCCTCACTGTAATCTGTGCACTCCTTATTGACTTTCTTTTAGGTGTCCAGCGAGACAGAAGAAATGTTCCTGGATCTTTTTCCTGCAGTGAAATGTGTATCACCAATGCGGGTACTTGAGTTGTTAAACAAACCCAGCTCTGGTTGTTTTGAAATGAAACAGGAGCAGTTTGATCTAGAAAAGTTAAGGAGTGAAGCTTTCCAAAGGTCCTACCAGTACCTCCGTAGATATAAGAACAAGGAAGATCTTGATCATTTCCTTTTCACCCCTAAGATGACTGAAGGGACAGAGAAAGAGTGGCTGGAGATCTTACTGGAATTCTGTTGTTGTCACAACCCTTCTTGGACTGAGCTTAGCAACTTCGTTCATTTCCTAAACTTCCAGCTAAGCAAGTGTGAGAAATCAGTTTTCTGTAGCCCAGCAGTTGGAGACGATTTCCAAGGTTTTAAAACATTTGTGGTAAAATTCATGATCACCATGTCCAAGGACTTTGCCATGCCCTCTCTTGATACCTCTGATGAAAGTGTGCCAAGTGCAGAAAATGATGATGAGGAAAATAGCATTATGGATCAGTACCGACTAAGACGAAAATGGGAACAAGAGTCCCACCCCTATATAGTCTTCCATGCAGACAATGACTCCATGAAGTTTTTGGGTTTTCACATCAGCAAGAGCTTGAATGCTATTGATCCCTATTCTCAAGCTATTTTGGAAAGGAATGTTATCAAAGGTAAATTATACTGGATTTTGAAAACCCAGTGTGTTCCTTTCAATAAGAAGTTTGAAGACTTGCCGAGAACAATGCAGCTGGAAGCTCTCTGCAGAGTTTTTGGTGTGAGCTACACCCAAGATCCAGATGAGTCATATCAGCTGACACTGGGCAACACCATGAAGATGCTTGCCATTCATCTGTGGTTCCAGTGTGGGATTCCTGTAATCATAATGGGTGAAACAGGCTGTGGGAAGACAAAGCTTGTGCAGTTCATGTGCAGCCTGCAAAGGGCAGGCAAGAACATTCAGAACATGGTGGTGGTGTGTGTCCATGGTGGCACTACCTCCAAGACCATCCACAAGAAAGTTAGGCAGGCAATTGAGCTGGCACGTTACAATGAAGAAAGGCATAACGTGGACACTGTACTCTTTTTTGATGAAGCAAACATATCAGAAGCTATCTTTGCAATCAAAGAGGTGCTGTGTGATCGCAGTGTAAATGGAGAGAAGATACTCACTGACCGTTTAAAAGTAGTAGCTGCTTGCAACCCTTACAGAAGGCACTCCAAAGAAACTATACAGAAACTTGAAAAACCTAGCTTGGGGTACCGAGTCCAGAGTGAAGACACGCTAGAGAAACTGGGTTACATTCCATTGCGGCAGCTGGTGTATCGGGTCAAGCCCCTTCCACCTAGCTTATTGCCTCTTGTCTGGGATTTTGGAGAGCTGAATGAAAAGACACAGAGCCTGTACATCAGAGAGATTGTAAAGTCCACCATGAAGAATAAAATTAATATTGAAAATCTGGACATCTTTACCAGTGCCATTTCAGCCTCCCAGAACTTCCTCAGGAAAAAGAAATATGAATGCAGAATTGCCAGTCTCTGGGATATAGAGCGGTGCATAATCATTGTGCTCTGGTTTTACAAATTCAGAGACCTGCTATTTCCTATGATTGATAAAAAGTACAAAAAGGAAAAGGAGACAATCTTAAATGATGAACAACGGGCCTTGGTGCTTTCATTGGGAGCTTGCTATTATGTGTTTCTGGAGAATCGCAAAGATTACCTGGAGGAGGTTGCAAAGTGCTTTTCTGTCCCTGCATCCCTGCTACAGCAAGAGATTGAGTTTTGCCAAGAGGTATTTCTTGATAACATCTCTGTTCCTCAGACAACAGCCTGCAATGATGCTCTGAGGGAAAACATCTTCATGATAGTTTTATGCATGGACCTACGAGTTCCACTCTTTCTGGTTGGGAAGCCAGGAAGCTCGAAATCCCTGTCTAAAACCATTGCTGTGGATGCCATGCAGGGCAGGCTGTCTAAAAGACAGTTGTTCAAAAGATGCAAGGAGATCCAGCTGGTGTCTTTTCAGTGCAGTCCCCATTCAAAACCAGAAGGGATCGTCTCCAGTTTCCGACAATGTGCACAGTTCCAGAGGGGGAAGAATCTGGATGAGTTTGCATCCGTTGTCGTCCTGGATGAAGTTCCTAGCAGAAGACTCACCAGATATGCCACTGAAGACACTGCACCCTCTTCTTGAAAGCGGATGCGTTGATGATGAAAACCCAGAGCCTTACCAAAAAGTTGGCTTTTTGGGCATTTCAAACTGGGCCCTAGATCCTGCCAAAATGAGCAGGGGCCTTTTTGTAATTCGGACTGACCCTAGCAAAGAAGAGCTAGTTAAAACTGCAGAGGGCATCTGTGCTGCACACACTTACTTTAAAAACATGAAGCATTTTTCCCTTTGCTGGCAGAATTCTACTGCAATGTGCTAAAAGCACAAAAAAATGAGTTCTTTGGGCTCCGTGATTTCTACAGCTTGATCAAGACGTTACTGCACTACTTCCAGGAAAAGAGCATCTCTCAATATGAGAACATTATAAAGGCCATTCAGAGAAACTTTGGAGGCTCCAGTGATATTAATCCTGTTGAGCTCTTGCAAAACTACACCAATGAGTTTGATTGTTCCCTGCACTTGGAAACCAGACACACGCTTCATTTGCTGAGGGAAAATATGAGCAAACAGGCAGGGCTCATGTCTCGATACCTTCTGCTGCTGACAACCAACCATGCAGCTTTCTACATCATCCAGATGACACAGTTTATAGATACTGAGAACTGTGAAATTATATTTGGCTCTGGTTTTCCACAGGACCAAGATTATGCCCACATATGCCAGTCTGTCAGCAGAGTGAAGGTCTGCATGGAGACAGGCAGGACTGTTGTTCTTTTAAATATACACAACCTTTACGAAAGCCTTTATGATGCTCTCAACCAGTGCTTTATTAGCCTTGGAGGAAATTACTATGTGGACCTGGGTCTTGGCACTCACAGAGTGAAGAGCCGTGTGAAGGATGAGTTCAGACTCATTGTGATAGAGGAAAAGAATGTAGTCTACACCCAATTCCCTACCCCACTGCTGAACCGGCTAGAGAAGCACTGCTTAGACATGAACACCATTCTGAACTGGCAGCAGCAAGAACTGAAGAAGGAGCTGCAGAACTGGGCCAGGCTGTTTGTCTCCATTGACAGCAGCAAGGTCTCCAATGTTTGGTCCACCAGGCTCAGCCCCAAGGAACCAGATGTCTTCATCGGTTTCAGCAGTGATACCTCTGCAGCTGTTGCTTTGGAGAGCACTCAGAACAGCTCCCGGGGAGCCCTTTTGCCCTATGAAGAGCGAGAGGCCTCTATTGCCAAAAGGAAACTTGTTCAGTGTGCAACCCCTGACTCCATCCTGCACCTTAAATACTCCCTTCTGGATGATGCTGAGCAAATCCAAGACTTGTACTTCCACAAGCAGAAGCACAACAGCCTTGTTAGTGTTTTGGGAGAGGCATTTAACCAGCAGCCAGGGAAGGAGAGGACTACTGGGCTCTGCCTGCAGGTAGGTGTACTTCACTGTAAAGCAGTGAGAGTGGTCTTTATTTTTCAGATGAGGGAGGTTACCATGCAACCTCCATTAAGCTACTGGATAAATTCCACTGTTGAATAGTGATGGGCTTCTACATGTCCTCTTTGGGTCCTGCCCTATCAGTTGTATCACATATGGGCCTGGCTTTTGCCTTGCGGTCCTCTGCATCAAGGTTGGACTCTGCTTCTCCTCTTGACCCAGATGTGGTGGATCTGCTAACAGACAGGCAGTGAGGTGCCAGGTCCTAACTCTGAATGCTCTGGAGATTCAAGGCTAAGCTGCTCAGGGCATCATTCATTGCCTGCAGACAAGTGACAAGCACCACTGATGGTACTGTGGGGATCTCACCAAGCATCCACCAGGACTTTAATTGGTTTTGGCCATTCTGGAAGTCCTGGATCATGCTTATTGCCTCCTGACATCTATTTTCAGGAGCTGTTGTCCATGCCAAAGAAAGCATCCTGATCAGTTTTCCAGTGACTGTCACAGAGGTTTAGGAACCTGTGTTGCATAGAGACACCTAAAAAGGTAGCAGCCGAATCCCCAAACAGAATCTACAGTACTGGGAGCCCCCATCCTTGGGAAAGAGTCAGCCCAGTAGAATCACACAGGGAGACCCTCATGCTAGGCCCATAACATTGCATGGAAAGGCTCTTCCAGCCCTCAAGGTGTTCATGCATGCCTCCCAGCAGGATTCCTTTGGAGTCACTGCCTCACAGCATCTGAGTAATTCCTAAAGATGCAGCTCAATTCTGAGTCTCTTGTAGCACAAGAAACACTTTTTTTTCCAGTTCTTAACAATGCTTCCACCCTTTTTCCCTATAAGTGGGCACATTTCCGAGTCTTGCCTTTAGGAAGCACTTGAAAACTTCCATAAGGGATCACTTCAATTTTCTCACCCATTAGGGATGGTAATGCAACTACAAAATAATTACCTGTAATTTGTTTCCCTTTCATTGCAGGTTTCTACACATGCAAGACTTCTAAATGAGAGAGATTTAGAAGAGTTAAGGAAGAAACTTAACCTTCAAAATAAAATCCATTGCCTTTTCCTAAGCCAATTTGATACTGAATACACTTTCCGCCAGGAACTCAGGTGAGGAGAGATTTCCTTCCTGCTTGTTTGTTAATTTTATAGAGGGGGAGCAGTGGGAGTGAAGAACAAAGGTGTTTTATGAATAGAGCAATAACAGACCATTTCATTGTCTGCAGGGATTTTTTTTGAACAATCATCAGAAGAGAAACTACTCCTCATCCAGTTTCACTTTGATGAGCCACAGAGCAGCAAAAGACTTTTAGCTTGTGCCAAGTAAACATCCTTCCTTATTTCTTCTTTTCTTCTGTATTTCTTTCATCAGGTGCAAAAAGAAAGATGTAGAGGCCAGATAGCCATGGGATATAACACTAGTTTTAGTGACCTGTTCAGTGAAGTTATTGCAAATGTTCTCATACATCTTTATGCACATACCTGTGTCTGTGCGCTCATGCCTAAGTTCTGTAGCTGAAATTTTCAAGCCCGTGTCTGTTAAGATATTAAGATAAAACATTCCTAACATCTCAGCTTTCATTTGTCCAAAAGAACATCGCCTTCATTCTGGCAGCATGATTCATATGAAACAGATCGCCTTGAGTGCATCACATAGCATGTACAGGACAACCAGGTGATCAGGCCCAGTCAGCATGGGTTTATGAAAGGCAGGTCCTGCTTGACCAATCTGATCTTCTACAACAAGGCAACCTGCTTAGTGGATGAGGGAAGGCTGTGGATGTTGTCTACCTGGACTTTAATCAAGCCTTTGACACTGTTTCACATCCTTCCCACATTAAAACCAACTGCCAGCAGGGTTGACTCACACAGCACAAGCTACTCCAAATAGGGCAAGCACCAGATTACTTTTTTCCCTTTAGTCATCAAACCAAAGGACTTAAATTGACATCTAGTGCCATTTAAGACATCCTAGAGACCCAAGATACGTCTCAGAGCTGTCTGATAAGACTTCACTGATAGGGCTTTCAGGAGACTTAAGCCCTTCTGGGCACCAGTGAGGGCTGAAGTAATTGACAATAGCATTATATGAGGTTGGTCTCCAGCCCTTGAAGTATGTTAGTGACATCCTCTCCCAGCCAAACACATCCTCTTGCAATATGATCCCACTTACCACCTTTGCCACTCTCCCACATTTCCTGTTCACATGTTTTTTTCACCATCTCAGCTACTGTGTATGTTGTCTTCTGAAATGCTGAAGTCTTGGGTGGATTTGTGCTTCTCTAGAGAGAAGCTTGAACTTTTCTGGTTCTGTTTCTAGGAAAGCTATGCTGGGTTTTGGCCTGTTTCCCAGCAAGTCCTGCATTGGTCTGTATCGTGGCTTTTGTTGTCTAATTTGTCTATGTTTGCAGCAGATCATGCTCCTGGCATTCTCATGATTGCCAGAAATAACATGATTGGGTAGAGACCCATACATACAACAAAACAAATTCAGATTAAAATAAAGATTCCATATTTAGCAGAAAGGGAAAATTATTGTGAAAAAGCTTGATGAAGTATGTGACTGAGTCATTGCTTGGAGAGGGTGTAGGAGAGATATATGAGCATGGATCTTGAGGTAGCCAGAACCATCTTGGATCTTGGCCTTGCCAGAGCAGGTCTGCACTGGACTGAGCTGAGCTTCTCTCTCCTCTTTCCACCACTGCAGTACCACCATGCTTCAAGCTGCTAGTCTTTCTAAAAGCTCTGCCTGAGCCCTGGAAAGGCAGAGCATGGCTTTGGGAGACTCTTTGCCGAACTGACAGAGATAATGGGTTTTTTAGCCTTTCTGTCCTGATTCTAGGTACTGTATCATAGATGAGAAAAGGAAATCAACAGGCACAGGCCCATCACATGTTGTGCTGGCCACTAAAGTCCCACGAGTCCTGGGAGGCTGCAGCTACCTGGCATTTGGCAGTGGTAAGGTTGAAATTTTTTTAATATTTTGGACCAGAGAGAAAGTGGGTGGGAGAGGTTGTGCAAGGGCAAGAAGAAGGATTTGAGGAAGCTATAGACCAAATAGCTTTGCACTGATCCCTAGAAAGATGATACATCAAATAATCCTGGAAACCCTTTCCAAACACATGAAAAACAGTAAGCCAACATGGATTTATGAATTGCAAATCAAGTCCAACCAACCTGATATCCTATGATGAGATGAGTGGCTTGGTGGATGAAGAGAGAATGGTGGATGGTGTTTATCTTGACTTCAGAAAGGCTTTTGACTCTATCTCCCATAACATTCTCACTGACAAACTGGTGAATTATGGACTAGATAAATGGACAGTGAGTTAGACTGACAAGTAGGTGAACTGCTGCACTTAAGAGCCTTTGCTCAACAGTACAAAGTCCAGCTGGAGGCCAGTCACTAGTGGTGTTACCTCAAGGATCAATACTGGGGCCAGTACTGTTTAACGTCTTAATTAATGACGCAGATGATGGGACAGAGTATACCTTCAGTAAGTATGATGATGATACAAAACTGGGAGGAGAGGCTAATACACCAGAAGGTCCTGCTGCAAAGGGACCTGTACAGGCTGGACTAATGGGTTGACAGGAGCCTCATGAAGTGTGAATTCCTGCATTTGTTGAGAAATACCCCCAGGCACCAGTATAGGCTGGTAGCTGAACAGCTGGAAAGAGGCTTTGTAGAGAAGGACCTGGTGGTCCTGGTGGACATCAAGTTTGACACAAGCTAGCAATGTGTCCTTGTGGCAAAGAAAGACAACATAGCCTTTGTTAGGCAGAGTACCATTAGAAGGTCAAGGAAGGTGATTATTCCTCACTACTCAGCACTGGTGAGGCCATACCTGGACTACGATGTTCATTTCTCTGCTTCCCAGTATCGAAGAGACATGGATATATTGGAGCAAGCTCAGTAAAGGGCCATGAATCACAGAATCACAGAATCCTAAGGGTTGGAAGGGACCTCAAAAGATCATCTAGTCCAATGCTCCTGCAAGAGCAGGGTAACCTAGAGTACATCACACAGGAACTTGTCCAGGCGGGCCTTGAATCTCTCCAACGTAGGAGGCTCCACAACCCCCCTGGGCAACCTGTTCCAGTGATCTGTCACTCTCACAGTAAAGAAATTTTTCCTGATGTTCACATGGAACCTCCTATGCTCCAGTTTACACCCATTGCCCCTTGTCCTGTCACTGGACATCACTGAAAAAAAACTAGCTCCATCATCCTGACACTCACCCTTTACATATTTGTAGACATTGATGAGGTCACCCCTCAGTCTCCTCCAAGCTAAAGAGTCCCAGCTCCCTCAGCCTCTCCTCATAAGAGAGATGTTCCATTCCCTTAATCATCTTTGTGGCTCTGAGCTGGACTCTTTCAAGCAATTCCCTGTCCTTCTTGAACTGTGGGGCCCAGAACTGGACACAATATTCCAGATGCGGCCTCACCAAGGCAGAGTAGAGGGGGAGGAGAACCTCTCTTGACCTACTAACCACACCCTTTCTAATGCACCCTAGGATGCCATTGGCCTTCTTGGCCACAAGGGCACATTGTTGGCTCATGGTCATTCTCCTATCCACCAGGACCCCCAGGTCCCTTTCCCCTTCACTACTGTCCAGCAGGTCAGCCCCCAACCTGTACTGGTACATGGGGTTGTTCCTGCCCAGATGCAGGACTCTACACTTGCCCTTGTTGAATTTCATCAAGTTTCTCCCTGCCCAACTCTCCAGCCTGTCCAGGTCTCGCTGAATGGCAACACAGCCCTCTGGTGTGTCAGCCACTCCTCCCAGTTTAGTATCATCAGCAAACTTGCTGAGGGTACATTCAGTTCCCTCATCCAGGTCGTTGATGAAAATATTAAACAGCACTGGTCCCAGCACCGACCCCTGAGGGACTCCACTAGTCACAGACCTCCAGCTAGATTCTGCCTCATTAACCACAACTCTGCCTTCTTCCTTCCAACCAGTTCTTGATCCACCTCGCTACCTGATCATCAAGCCCACACTTCCTTAGCTTATCTGTGAGGATGCTGTGGGAGACAGTATCAAATGCCTTACTGAAATCAAGAAAAACCACATCTACCGCTCTACCATCATCAATCCACCTAGTTACTTCCTCATAGAAGGCTATAAGGTTGGTCAAACATGACTTCCCCTTGGTAAAGCCAAGGACAGTAGAACCGCATGTGAGTACAAACCAAGGCCTAGAGTAGGTTGGGGTTTTTTATTTATGCATCGCTTCATCTTGCACATTGCAAACCATGGAACAGGGGAAACAAAATGAGTGTTTTAATGATCTGTCCTGGTGCCTGTCTAGGCCAGCAGGGAGGGAGGTCCCAAAAGAGAGAGGACTAGGTTTGGTCAGAGCCAGTTCTGCTCTCCATGCACCCCATGTTGTGTGTTCTCAGAATCTATATTGAAACATCCAGATTTTTGCGTGACCTTTGATGGAGATCTTGACAGAAAAATCCGAGGCAGAGGTCACTTTATACTCCCATGATTATTTTGGAGTCCAGTGCCACACAACTAATTTCTACATAGAATTGATACAAATTATTTGTGCAGGTGATGTGGTGTCTTGATAGAAAACTGTGGCTACAGCAAAATGGAAAGGGTCTGGTTTTCCAGTATCAAAATCCTTACATGTGCATTTGGAAATTATTCTTTCCAGCATATGAAAAGACTTTCACTGTGGTCCATGACTTGCTCTTCTTTGAGGTCCTGATTAAGGTACTGGAGCACCTTTGATATGAGACTGAGAGATCTGAGACAGTTCAGACTGGAGAAGAGAAGGCTTGTGGGATCTTAGCGCTATGTATACATATATGATGAGAGGGCATGAAGAAAATGGAGACGCCACACTTCAGTGGTGTCCCATGACAAGACAAGAGGCAATGGGCACAAACTGAAACACAAGAAATTCCATTCAAAGAGAATGTTGAAGGTGGCAAACATCTTTTGGATTATAGAATCATTTTCTTCCCTAATTAATGGATGAGAATGACAGGGCATTTGTGCCCATTAGCACTAAGAAAATAGAGAGGGGGCAACAGAATAATTTAGAGCAAAAAGAAGCAGGAGGTAGTAAACCTTCCATCTCTCAATATCTTATCAAGGTTGCTGGTTGGTCAGGGCAGCCAAAGTTTGTTGATTTTTCTGGATGGGTGTGGTGCACCAAGAAGAGTAGGTCAATTGTTCACAGCAGTTAAGTCCAACACTACTATTTCTGTCATGCTTACTGCTTCCCCAGGTGAATGGATGTCAGTCCACTTGGATGATCTGATGCCATCAGACAACTTTACAGCCAACCTAGGCCATCTCAGCAAAATGACTATTGCTGAGATTTTCATGACCACTTTACATGAGCATCTCCCAACAGGTAACCTGCCATTTGCTTTTTACCCACTACCTTCACAGCTCTGTCCCTTCCTTTGTGTCCCATTTACTCCATCTACAGCTTTACGTATAGCTACATCAAGTGGTCCATGGAGGCATTGTCTCTGGGTCTCAACAGGACTTACTGTACTTGCTGTTTCTGAAGTCCTCACAGCATTGCATTATTTTTTCTTTCTGGTCTGAAAGCTGTGACTATAAGGTAGCAGGGTACCGAAGTCAGTTCTTCAGTTGCAATAGCAAATTGGCTGAAGTGCTGTCGCATTTAGCATACAGTGGACATACACTTACCCTCTTTGATTCCCATCAAGTCTTTGTGCTAGCCTTACCCAAAAAAAAACCTCTAAATATTCCTGATTTGATGAGTTCAAAGCCAACTCAATACATCCCTGCTATTGTTTTCAGGATGTATGGGTAAAGGGAGACAGGAGCAGTTGGGGTGAACTCCACTTCCTGTCCTGACACATCTGTATTTCCTCTGGGGTGCCAATTAAAACAAAGATCTGGTTACTGGGTAATTCACCCCAGAGGGATCAAAGCCCAGGCTGAAATCTGTGAGAGAGACAGCTTTTCAACCTTTTGTTGATTGCTGAGAGACTCCAGATGCTTGCTTTGGATGGAGTTACCTATTTTTCAGGTTTCTATATTTTTTGCAACGGATTCTTATAAGTTACTGTGATTTCAGGTTCTCAAGAGGAATCTGCTGCACTTGAAGATCCAGCCAAGTCCAATCTTTACCCAGAAGGAAATGTATGATTTATTTCTTTTTTCTAATTTCAGCTGCCTGGCATTATACAGGAGGTGGTTTAGGAAACAATGGTTTTCATAGGGATATAGGGATGCAAGTTACGCTGGTCTCTGGTTTGGATAGTACATTTGCCACATGAAAAAGTAGTTGCAGGTCTTTGTGAGTGAAGTTCTCCCCATCCTCTGACAGACCAGCACAAGGCAAGAGTAGACACATATAAGACTTTTGTGAAATTTGGCAAAGCATTAAATCCTTCCCTACTTCTCATTCCTTTGCCAGGGCTTTTAGCACTTCTCTACAATGTTGGGACTTACTTACTATAGATGGGATGGAAAAATAGATATGTGCCTGGGGTTCCATTTTGTCAGGGCAAGTAGGAATTGCAACAAAGTGTTAGGCAATATACTGAGCTCCAGTCTTCTCCATTCACAGCTCCTCAGCATGGATTCTATGATCAAACAGAGCATCCAGAAAGCTGTAATCCAGCTGGAAGACAAGACAGACAACAGTCGGCATGCCACTGAAAGAATCATGATCATTCACAACTTGCTTTTCCAGGACAGTAGAACCACATGTGAGTACAAACCAAGGCCTAGAGTAGGTTGGGGTTTTTTATTTGTGCATCGCTTCATCTTGCACATTGCAAACCATGGAACAGGGGAAACAAAATGAGTGTTTTAATGATCTGTTCTGGTGCCTGTCTAGGCCAGCAGGGAGGGAGGTCCCAAAAGAGAGAGGACTAGGTTTGGTCAGAGCCAGTTCTGCTCTCCATGCACCCCATGTTGTGTGTTCTCAGAATCTATATTGAAACATCCAGATTTTTGCGTGACCTTTGATGGAGATCTTGACAGAAAAATCCGAGGCAGAGGTCACTTTATACTCCCATGATTATTTTGGAGTCCAGTGCCACACAACTAATTTCTACATAGAATTGATACAAATTATTTGTGCAGGTGATGTGGTGTCTTGATAGAAAACTGTGGCTGCAGCAAAATGGAAAGGGTCTGGTTTTCCAATATCAAAATCCTTACATGTGCATTTGGAAATTATTCTTTCCAGCATATGAAAAGACTTTTTCACTGTGGTCCATGACTTGCTCTTCTTTGAGCAATAGGTTCCTGTCAGGTGCCTAGGATGTTTATTAATGACTGAAAAAAATAAGAGACTATGTACCACTTTAACAATGTGGTGGGTCTGGGAAGTCCTTGTGGTCATATGGCAAAACCAGAATACTGTACTAAATTTGGACTATAATAAAATGTCCCTCATGAAAATACATTTTCTTGTGATTGCAAAGTGACACCATTCCTCATGCAATGCAGGATGAATTTAGCTTGTGGCTTTATCAGTATGGAAAGGGAAACAATTCCATCAATTTTATTTTATATTGATACCAGTGCTATACAGATAAGAACAGGATGTCAGCTTTTCTGCAGCACTGTGACTATTCTTGTGGCATACAATACTAAATATTTCTCCATATCGATTTGAATATCAGAGTATTTATACACCAAAGAACCTAATTCATGCAATATTTAAAAGACTGAGACAGGGAGAAGGGGATTTTCTTTCCTCAATCAAAAATGGAGTCTTTAATAAGTGCTGCCCCAAAATCAACTTGTTAGATATAAAGAGAGAAATAAAGAGAGGAGATTAGGGTAGAATATAAAGTCCCTGGATTTTATTGTGGAGGAAAAGCAAGAACTTTTATAGAGGTCATTTCCTATGACTGGCTTTACTTTGACTGAAAACTTTGAATGGAAACTCATTTAAATGTTTCAATAAGCATTGTTTTATAATTAGTTTCTAGTCATTTCATGAGAGTGCTGAAAAGGAGAATCTGCCTCCTCCTACAAGAACGTGAGAAAATAAGTCTTGAGCCAAGGGAGTGGGTTTTCCACAGAGCTGTCTCCAGCAAGTTCATCCTTGAAGACACTTCATTCAGGTAGTGTTCACACATTTTACCTGTGCAACCCTTTCCAAATTCTAACCGATCTGTTTCCGAGTGTTAAAAGAGCTGTGTTTTTGTAAAGCAACTTAATGGGGCTCAGACATGACAACCAGGAAGAATATTGCTATCTGGTATACAGGAGTAGATGTGAGTTTCTGATGAATAGAGGATTAGTAAGGTATGAGGAAAACACTTGACAGGCCATGTTATCATTTCTAGGCATGCTCTCTGGATGCATTTAGAAGACATCGTGGCCAATCTATTTGCTCAAATTCTCGCAGTGGTGGATGCAAACAATAACCTGGATCACCTCTCTCCACTGTCTCTGTTCTCAGAAATGTGGCTTCAGATGTTCAAAGAAGAATCATTCTTGAGAATTAAATATACCAGCAAGTAAGAGACTTGGTGGAAAAAATACAGTATGTACATTAGGAGAAAAAGAACATGCTTTCATAATGCACCCTCTGGAGAAGGAAATGGTAAAACAAGGCTGAAGTTAAGATAGATAAACTCACACAGCTCATAACTTATCTGTGTTAAGTCCTCTGTGTCATGACATTGGAATCAGAACCTTCCAGTTGTCTTAAACCTTCAGCAACTCAGGAACATTAGTAAGGAACCCTTGGAACAGTGATTGACCCAGTGTAAACTTTGAAACAATAAGTCCAGAATTTTAAAACTTGAATCTTAGCTCCTTCAGATCAGAGCAGATGAATCTCCTCCCCAGCACAAAATGCATTTGGTATACAACTATCACATTTTAACTTACTCTGAACAGCAGCTGTTGTCAGAGACAAGAGAGTTGTTGTCTGACTCACTTGCCTTTCCTCTGCTGCAGTCTTTTTTTCTGCCTTCAGCTCCAAGTGGCAGGAACATCTTCTGTTCGTGCATTGTTTTCAGTACTGCTGAGTTTTTTACAAACCATCTTTATGTGCTTTTTAACCTTTTAAGCAGAACATATGTCAGTGGCAGTCAGAATTTTTTTCTGTGATGCTTCAGTTCTGTACACACAGAGTGTATGACATGATGATTGCTTCATTCTGTCTTGTTTAAGGAAACAAGATGCTAAGATTTCTGTGTTGTCAACGACTGAAGATCCCAACACATCTGTGTTTTGCCAGTTCCCATTCAGTTGGGTTTTGAAGGCCTACCTGGAGGAACTATGGGAGAGAGTCTATAATATGAAAGGTAACATCAGACTTTTCAAGCAGGTATTGTTTAACCCAGGGAAGCTGATCTCCAAAGTTTCCCACAGTAGTCAAAGGTTGTGGTAGGAGCAACCATAGCAGTTCTGTTCCCCACACAACCATATTGACCTAGAATATCTTATTTTCACTCTTGTTTTCCTGTCAGCTTCTGTTTTCTGATTACCTGATATCTCTGTCCTTTCCTCTAGGTCATCCAAAAGTGCCTATGAAGGAACCAGCTAAATTGTTCCAAGAGCTGATCAAGAATGTGTTGATACCAGATGGAAGTAATCCAGAGATGATGCAGTGTTACACTAATGATTTTCTAAGGATGAATTTTCCTGGGCAAGATCTTTCTGTCTATGAGGTAAATGGGGTTTCATGGAGTACAAGCTTTAAATGGCACCGGCTTGAGTCATAGGGCTACAGATACCTAGGGTTCCAAGAACTGGGGGAAATTTTGATGGAGAAATTTGACTAGACTGCTTCAGCAATGCTGAATGACATCCTCAGTGCCCTGCTGTTGTTTTGGAGCAGAAATAACACTTTTTGTTTCATCTGCAGGTTCTGTCAAAAGCTCTCCTAGTCAACGCAAAACAGCTCTGCTCCTCTGTGGGGCAGGAGGAGGTAAGCTTTTCCCCCATTTGGCTTCATATGGAATATTTCTACCTACGAGAGGAGTATCAACTCTTTGTTCAGTTGGTAAAAATTGATGAGTCTGTAATAAGAGAGCTACAAAACATGTATGAGAAGGATCCACCAGAAATGGTAAGCTAAAAGGAATCTACACTGTGTAGAAAAATATTATACATCCTTTTTCTTGTGTTATCCTGGGTATGACATTCATCCGTTCTTAGACATTCAGACCTTTTAGGTGGTGATCATAGAATTTAATTTCTGGGGTAAGGGTCCAAGTCTGGATTCAGATACTGTAGCCTACATGTCTACAGTATGTGCCTATATCTGCAGTGGTCGTCTGATCTACTGTCTGATCTCTCTCTGATCTGACAGTGAAAACATGGGCTACAGAGACAGTGGAGAGTGACTCATGACTGAAGGGGGAGGTGCCGTTCAGTTGCCCATAAGCAGGCATCTACTGACATTTCAGATGCTGATTGGCCTCCAGCTCCTGCCGCCATAGGGCGTTTGTCTCCTGTAGGTTGTGTGCCCTATATGCCAGTTCTGTATAGATGTCTCAGACATCCAAAGGCATTTCAGCTGACAGCAGAGACCTACAATATAGCAACTGGATCCCACCTAAGTATCTAAGTCTTTCCAAAGAACAATTCATTCAACAACCTTAAACATCTCTCTGTGAAATGGAAGAATTGTTCTTTGGAAATACCTGTTTCTCTCTCCTGGACATCAAGAGGACTGAAGGCAACAAGCTTAGAAGCTTAGAGCTCAGAGTTTCCCTGTGGAGGGAAACAAGTGCTCTGGTTCATGTATTCAAACAGTATACAAGATACAAGTGCAACACAGAGTTACACTATGGTACAATTATGGTTTCTGTACAGTTCTCACTTTCCTACCTAATAAATTCCTACTACGGTATTTCTTGCTGTGTGCACCAACCTAAGGTTTTCAGAGAATTCCCCATCATAGCCTTCAAAGCCTTTTTTTTTTTCACCAAGGTGCAGTGGGGCTATGCCAACTATAAAAGCAATTTTTTTCCTTCTCTCTTTTTAAATATAATTTCAATTTATCACTCTCGACACCTTGAACATTATCCTGAAAAAGGTGAAGCCCACAGATAAACTTCTGTCATTTGAGGCCTTTACAGAATGGCTTAGAAGGGTCAAGTCCTTTAAGCTCTGGATGGGGTGGATTGATATGGGTGATCACCAGATTCATCTTTACCAGAAGAAAAGTGAACTCCTAAGGACTGTGTTGTAAGTCCAGCCTCATTTTCATCTTTCAAGTAACAGGTCCTCTTTCAGACAAGCCAATATTGTTTTCCTTCAAACTGCTAGCATGTGTTTGCTGAAAGATTCTGCCAGCCCTCACCAAAAGGTTTGAATATTAAAATACTTGGAGCTTAAAAATGTAGTCTGTGGAGAAGGATTGCTTATAGCCTACACTTTTTCCTTGGAGTTCCTAATCCAGTGTTTCGGTGAATTGAAAGATTTCAGGCAAACATATAGGGCATTATGTCACCTCTTCCATGAGTTACGTGTCTACACTGTGAGTGCGTTTAATCAATCCTTTCCTTGGAAACCTGTAGTATTTAGTCCAAGAATCTTGATCCCTGAACCTGTTGGCTCCTTCCTAATCCTTTGCTCATTTTGTTTTCTGATTATCACAAAAACATAGGCAAATTTACTCCAAAAAGCTGTGTTAAGAACTACATATTTTGGTCATGGTCAAGCACCCATCATTCCTTGACAATAAGATCTGATTTCCTAAACATCTGACTGAATGCTTGCTTGATCATGCCCAGGATACTTACTTTACAGCAAGTAGTAAAGTAGATATCTCCATAGACAAAACCCAGTAATGATTCCATAACTCAGTTTAGTCTGGGGACACGCCAGCAAGCAAGGTAGACAGGACTATGCCATATTTTTCACTCCTTGCTCAGTCTAGTCCTTCGAAGCTACCCCAGGAGTTCTTGTGTCCTCAAATCATCTCAGTACCTGGGACCTTGGTTGGAAAGGACCTCAGAGGTCTGTAGGCCAGCCTCCCACTTAAAATTGCACCGTTGCCAACAGTAGAGTAGATCATCTGTGGCTTTCTCTGGCAAGTCTTGAAGCTTTGTTCCACATCTGTGTTTTTTCCAGATGCCAGTGGACCTGCACCAACATTTTCTACATGTTCTTTGACCACCTGCTGTACAATGAGACACAAATAGATGAGAAGCTTCTGAGACTTCTTGTGAAGCAGTTCATGTTCATCTATAAAGTATGTGCTCAGTGTAGTGCTTTCCTGGACAATTTATAGCATTAGAGACTGTCAGAGTTTTGAAGCAGCCTTATCTTCCACAGATTCCTCTGATACTGGTTTGAGGGAAGGCATGGAAATGGGAAGAGGGTGGGAAGAAGGTGGAAACACCACCTAGTGCAAAAAGCACTGAGATTTCAGAAACATCATGAAACCCCCCCAGATCAGAATTTTGTTTAAAGGAATGTTTCCTTGAAAGAAGACTTATTTCAGGCCAGTTATCCCTGTCATTACATAAGGAAAAGTGCTTGGTGGGTTCATTTGATTTTAGTGGTTTGTTATGTAGTTTTGTGATGCTGACCTCCATTATTCCTTTTTCGTATGCCAAGAAGGTATTGCCATTGAGCTTTCACCATCCTTTCTTTCCCACAGCGCCTGACTGAAGCACAGAATTTTGAGACAGCAGAAATTTTTGAATTGGTGACAAAAGTGCTGAGGAAATGCAACGAGAATGCTGAAAATGTGTATCTTGTGTAAGTCCAAGACAAAAAAAAAACCAAACCAAACAACCAAACAAACAAAACAAAACAACCAAACAAACAAACAAAACAAAACAAACAAACAACAATTAAACCAACACAAAAAAAAAATAATCCCAGTTCTAGGGACATTTTATGTCAAGACTGGTTTTTGTAAGGGATGGGGTAACGCTGTCACCACTTAATGGGGATGAATCTCCTCCAGCCAAAGGGTATCCCCTTGAGGCTACTAATGCTAGGGCATGGAATGCCCAAGCTGAGAAGACCATGGAGCAAAGTCTTTCCCATGCAGTGTTGTGCCTGGCTGGTGACAGAGACAAGCCTGGTACTGAATGTGGTGCAGTCAGTGTAGCTACTCATAGGTGTAGTAAGACTGTGGATAAGGCCCACCCCCCAGTCCAGCCTCACTCAGCTTGGTGAGCCACATCTCTTAGATGAGATGGTCCTTGGTGGAGCCACCCCCTTATTAAACTAGCAGGAGTTTCTCTTATATTCTGCTCACCAGTAAGGCTAGTTACAAATTACCATACAGTTTTGGATGGTCAAATGTTGGGCGTGAGAATCTCCTGCCCACTCCTCAAGTCTGGCACTGGTGTAAAATCAGCCCTGAAATGCATCTTCCTTTGGTGGCATCTTTCAGGAAAGGTGTGAAGGACTGCAAGAGCTGTCAGCTGGAAATCAATGACCCAGCAGAGCTGCCCTGTGGCCACATTTTCTGTTCAGATTGCATCTGTGAATGGACAAGCAAGCAGTGCAAGATCTGCAAGGAAAACTTCCCAGAGGATCACACACCCAAAGCTACAGTGGCCACGAGGTATCCTGTAACTAGTCGAACTAGTTTTGTTGTTTCAGTCTCTATCACTTTGTATAAAATACTGGAATAGTTGCCAGAGCAGGGGCCACACAAGTGTCATTAACATGTGAGCTCCATGGAAATGTCAGTATTTACCATATGTAGCAAACCTTTGGTGGTGAAAGGATTCACATGAAGTGATCTGGGGTCAGTTTCAGCCCTTTTACCTCCATCTGAACAGGCAGTCTATCCAGGCATACATAACACATAAGAATCCATTTGTCTTTGTTCTCTAGCTAACTTGACTGGAGATAGGAGAGGAAGAATACAGGGAAGAAGAAAGTTTGTCTTCAGGATTCAAGAAAAAATGCTGTAGTGGGTTTTCTAGGGGTTAATCACCTTCTCTATTTAAAATGTGTATTTCTTTTCCACAGTCAAGTTATACCTGGTATTCTGGTCACATTCCAAGAAGCAGAAAAGACAAGTTGCTTCTTTGCTTTACTGAGTTTTGATGGTAGATCTTGACTTTATTCCTTCCTACAGAGAAGCTGTTGAAAGTCATAGCAAATTCAGGAGAAAATGTAACTCCTTCTTTATGGAGTTTGTCACCACCTTTGTCTTGGGAAACAAAGGAACACCATCCCCAAAAGTGATCACTCAGCTGATCTAATTTGTGGCTTGCAAGCCATCCAGCCCTGAGCACCAGTCAGTAAAAAGGGGTAAGAGCCTAACTTCACTGGGACCCTGACCTGATTTGCACTGAAGAAAAATAATGAATGCCATCCTCATTTTTAGTGCGCAAATCAGAAAGTGAGCTGTCACCCTTTCAAGAGTGCATGGACACCAGTGCAACAATCAAGTCCTCCCTCTTGAAACTGCTCCTGAGATATGGGTTAGTGTGAGCTAGCTCTTAGCCTGATCACTGAGCCACTCAGACTACATGGATGCTCACATTTAATGATTTTGTTTGGTTTTTTATCATAGGTTCAACAACATAAAGTTTCACCTAGAAAAATACCTTTCGGAGATGGAGAAAAAGATAAACGTCAACGAAAGTAACTGGGAACATTTATGCTTCATGGTGGTGCATTGTCTGGAGGTAAGTGCAAATACCTGTGCTACCCTTTGCAGATCAAACTCTTCCTGTCTCTTTCCCCCCACTGGCTCCTGAGGCTGTCTGTAACAGGCTGCTGATCTCCCTTCCTAAGCGTAGTCTAGAAGAATCCAGACCTGAGTTAGTAATATCCATTGTACAATCTGGATTTTGGAGCTCTAGCTCCTGGAGTCCATGGCTGCCTATGGCCTGATTTGTAAGCCACAAGAGCCTCCCATAGCTGATAATGTGAGCAGAAATGTCCGTGGTCCCTGATCCACTTTGAGCTGGTGCACTGCAGATATGCACAAGCATATCAGTCCAACACATGATTCTCCACCAAGTGAACCCAGAAAGGAGGCAGTCCTCTTCTGCCAGAGAAACAGAGTTAGGACTAGTCTCAATGGTACACCTTTAAAGCAGTCATTGAGGGGACTTGAGATTTACAGGGTACAACATCACAGCAGAAATAAGTTCTGCACCTGGTGAAAAAGCTTAGGAAAGAACGGACTACACAGAACCTATGGCAGCTTTGAACTCTTACCTTTCCCTCTCTCTTCCCATTTAACAGGATTTTATGTATCCTTCTTCACAAGACAGTGTCAACCAGCTTGCTGAAAGTTGCCTCTCTACTGCAGACCTTTCTGCTTTCTGCTCACAAGAGGCCTCAAAAATTGACACCCTCCAGTTCATAGCCCGTCTCCGGTTCTCTATCAGCCATGTGGCCACTGTGCTTGGCAGACAGGTGCGATGAGTCAGAGAACATGAAATCTGTGAAGCCAAACATTCACTAGCATTTGAGGTTTCTTCTGAGAGGATTAAAACAACAAAAAGACAAAGTTGTGTCTAAATTTAAGAGGTTTAACAGAGGAATTTTCAAGAAGTGATTCAGGATCAGCAGGGCTAATTTATTTCTTTTAAATCTAGATGATTTTTTAACCCTCTTATTCTGACACTATAAAACTATTTTTTGGCAATATTTAAACTGAATGGTACTAAAGTAGCTAAATTTTATACATGAATGGGTTGCATCCAAAGATGTGTATGTTGCATTCAAAATATATATATTACCTAGAACTTGTGGATTTCCCCTGAAGCCATTTTTTTTTTTTTCTGGATTATTTTTTCAGCATGAGAAAAACTGAACATCCAGGTTTTGTTTAGAATTAAAAGAGAGTTATATGAATACTGGCATTTCCCCTCAAAAAATAGTTCACCAGAATTAAGGGGTGGTGTGCAGCAGGGTATCAGTCAATGGAGTTCACAATGAACATGTGTGAGCCTCTCAGTTTAGAAGCGAACATAGTGCACTTTAAATTCTGTTGAATCACTTCCTTACATCTTTGTTAGCTTCAAAGGGTGTCCAAGTAAAGTCTGAGTGAAGAGACCAACACAGTCTTATCTCAACACATATAACAAATGGAGATACAGGAGACCCCTTGTAAGGCCAAGATATGAATAGGTCAGAAGATTCCCACTCAGCTACCTAGAAGAGAGCCATGAGATTGCTCCTTACCTTCTGGATAGCCTTTGAGAGCTTTCCTTTCTGACCTAAAATATGCTAGAGAAGATTACCTGGCCAAGATCCTGTAAAGACTAAAAATGGGATAACAGTGGACCATTAAGTCCTCATAACCACTGCCCAGTATTCTACTTCCCTGCATACTGCAGGTATTAAGCAGCCCAGGATACTATGGTAGCAGGCCACATTTCTACTCTTGGATAAAAAGTGTTGCTGCAACCTAAGCAGGTGGTGTGTTTACAAAAAAAATCTACAATACACAACTGTATGGGAGTAAGCCTAATGAAAAATCTCACTTGTAGCTGCAGATCAAAACAAACCGTCTCCTCATGGGAACAGGCAAGAGGAGCAAGACTTGGTGAATGCAATGAAGGAGCTGGTGGCAAATGCAGAGACACCGTGGCCTCAAATCTTCCTCATTAAAAATCTGTAACAACTACAGGTTCATCCCAGCACAGAAGATCCTTCAGGCAGAAAAATGGATTTTACCCAGAGGGTTTGAAATTTCACAGGTGAGTGTCTTCCAAAATCTTCTACATGTCACTGAAGCTGGGCCACCCAACCACACAGGTGCACCCAGGCTTTTCTTTGCAGCTAGCTCTGAGAGTTTACAGGTGGCTGAGTTGAGCCCTGCCTGGTGAATTTACATGTCGTATTGTAGGCTGCGTGCCTTACCTGGGATGGTAAGGCTGTGTGCCTTACTGATGGGATAGGAAACACCCATCTTAAGTAATGAAAAAATCTTCCTGGGGCTTTCTTCTGTTCTGGAGAGAGCTATAAGCCCTCTAGAGGATCATTTTACCTCCATCACTTCTGCTAGGCATGTGAGTGTTCCCCTGAAGGGACCTAGGTGTGTGTGTGTAAGACTGTAGAATCTAGAACCATTGCACAGCAAAATCCAGGCAGAACAGACCTCATATCTCTACAGCACCCCAACCTTTCCCCCATGATACAAGCAGAAATTTTAAACAATGCAAAAAGTTTGCTATGGTCACAACACAAAAATAACCTTATCATTTGTAAGGGATTTATCTCAGTGCTTCAGTGAGTTTGATACAGCCTTTCACATGCTGGAGGTATCTTCACTGTGGTAACATATTTTATATCTGTGTTTCACAGCATACGGGTGACTGGTCAGATATAATGCTGGTGCTTCCAGAGCAAAAAAACAAATAAAAACTGGAAATCCCCAGGAAGTCCAAAGGCTGATAGTGAGTATCCATTGTATCTTCTACATAAGATTTCTGTGGGTGTTATGGGGTGTTTGTAGAAAGATATAGGAATTTTCTCCTGAGTTGGAAACAAAAGGATCACATTTATATAAAACACCACTTTTGTGGCCTAACAGTGGTCACCTCATCAAAAGGTGCCTTATGGGTCTTCTTAAATTCCACCTGGTTTGTTCAATTTCTTTTCTAGCCTGTCATTAAACAAATGGAAATCATCCTCCAAACACCAGTGCTCCCAGGAGAGTCTCTGGAAAACAAGATGGAGAAGATCTGGGCTAAGTTTGCTCTGTGCAAACACAAAAACAAGGTCTTGATGGAGGTGGTGTTTCACACTGCATTTACTCTGGCACTATCTCAAAGTCCCCTTGCTCAACTTTTCAGAATTATCTGCTTTAAGCCTTGTGAGGTGAAGGTAAATCAAGTTGTGGGGATATGGTTTCTTCCTTCATGATAAGGCTGTTGGGGTGGGACCTGCTTTTACACTACCAGCTCTGTCAGATTTGGTTTGGGTCAGTTTGCAGCTTTCTGGTTTGTTGCAGACACCAAATGGAGCCTTCTAGTTATGCTCTCTTCTGGACAGTCCACTAAAAGGAAACTGGGGCCATCAGTGGATAGTGATGGATTGTCTGTATTGATAGTCCATCACTATCTGTATTGAAAGTGGGAGACAGCCTGCTGGAGGTGCCCATATCTCTCCAGTGGGTCTAAGGGGCCTTGCCAAATGTTAGCTGTCAACTGAGCTTACATGACTCAAATCCTAGCCCAAGCTTCTTCATTCTGACCACAAATATGCCATCTGTAAGTAAAGATTACTTTTTTTAATAGATTAGACACCCCACCCCACCCCCCGCCTTTTGCACCTAATGAGGCATAAATTGTTCCTGTTATTTGAGGAATGCAGAAAGTATTTGAGACGTGCATTGCCCATATCTTGGCTGTGAAGACAATGGCAGCGTCCAGATCCTGCTCTTTCCCTGTGAATCCTCAGTTTGGTAGGCAGATACCAAAGAATTTATGGTACCTTTGGCATCACTGCTGTTGTAAACCCAGCCAATCCCCAGTGTATCCCCAGTTGATATAATGACGTGTTCCTTGGTCCATGTCTCAGACAAGCTTTTTCACGCACCCATTTACACCTAATGTATTTATTTCCAGAACAGTTATTTCTCCAGTAGGTGAGAAGAAAACTAGGAAAATGGTTACAGAATTCCTCAAATTCTCCTTCACACATCTGTTTCCTTTCTAAGAGGTCCTACCTTCCCACCATGCCTGGAGACCTGCCGTTTGATAAGAACTGGAAAACTGGTCAAAATGATACGCTTTGGAGTAAGTGGTAGGAAAATTTTACCTTAGTCCAGCCCAGATGCTCCTATATGGATGGCAGACACAGGGAACTTGCTATAAATGTTCCAGGGGATGGAGGGAAAGGAAGAACAGGTAGATGGAGTGCTCCTGTTGAGTATTCACTGGTCTGCTTTCAGCTTCAGCACCTTCAGGCCGTTTATGCTAAACTCTGTAAGAAAAATGTTGTGACACCAGATCCCAATAGATGGGAAGAATGTCTTACTTAAGAAAAGCCCATCCAGTGAAATTCTGGTTGTGCTTACATTATGAAGGATTTTGTAATTGGGAGATAATTAACAGATTAATCTAATTTCCTTTCCTACACAGTTTGTCAGTGTAGATCATACTGGACCATCAATGATGTGAGTGCCTTTTGGCTTTTTTGTGATGCTGGGGATCTTCTGTCTGCTGTTATGTTTTCTGCTAGGTCTCACACTGCTGTCATATCTTTACCTATAGTTTGTGTGTCCCTGGGAAATCAAACGATGCCTATGTGGTGCCAAAATTGGAGGACATAAAGACAAACCTGAGAAAGGTTTTGTGAGGATAAAAATGTAAGTTGATGCTCCCTGCCCTACAGCTGAAGAAAGATGGACACACATGTGGCCACTTGACCCTCTTTCCATTCTCTGGTACAGGAGAAACACTGTAGCTGAGCAAAGCAAGGTCTAAATCTCAGAAGTACATACTAGGGGGAACAGAGAGAAGAAAAAGCTTGAGTGGAAACAGATGGTAAGAGCATTTCTTCAGCAGCATTTCTTCCCTTCCAAAAGTTTCATCTCACCCCATGTTCAGACTTATTCTGACCCAAGGGTGACCAAGCCTCTGTCAATGTTAACTTACACGAGAGGAGCCTAGTCACTGAGAATGTAAACTGAACTACATTTCCTTATCACAGCACACAGGACAGAACAGGAAAAGGATACATCCTTGGAAGCCCTTCCATACGGAGAACTGAACTGGAGAGGGACCTGTTGCCTGCCTCTGTCTGTCTTGCAAGAGTTCTGCTGCATTCATCCATGCTGCTGGGCATCTATACAGACGAAGGGGGGAGACAGCCCATATTCTTTTCTCTCCCTTGCCTCCTGTCTGTCTGCCCACGCCACTCAGCCTGCAGTTTCTACATGATGAATAGCTTCTTCCCTATTCAGAGGATGAATAGGGCAGAACCTTTCTTGAGAGCTAAATTAAGAAACCACCCTGTCTTCCAGGCAATTCTGAATCTGATGACAGAGAAGCCAGAGGATGTGGCAAAATTCTTCTGGGGCCACCTTGAGAAAGACATTGAATGCCTGGCAGAGGCGTGTAGCAAGAACATGGAGGATGCCACAGTGACAGTCCATCTGTTCCTCCAGCACCTGAGCAGCAGTGCAAACAGTAAAGGTATATTCCACCCCCTGGGAGGGTACCAGCAGGCTTACAACAAGTTTGTTTTCACACAGCCACTGGACCTGGTGGCTCTCATCCCACAGCTACAGCTGTTCTGCACAGACTCCACTGTCTACTGGGTGAGGGTCCTTATAATGCTTTGAATTTCCTACAGGACAAAACATGGACTGGAATATTTTGCTTAGCCAAGAAGACAGAAGGCAGTGGGAAACCTGCTTTAAAACCCTGACTCGGCCATTCTTCAAGGTACACAAGGGACTCGTTGCTGCATGTTGTGGTTTAAACCCAGCCAGTAACTTGGCACCACACAGCCAGCTGCTCAACCCCTCCTTCCTCCTGACCCTACTTCATTCTTCAACAGGAAAATTTTACTATCTCCTCCCTTTCTTCAGAGCCACCATTGTTTTCACTCATGAAAAGACTTGTAAGTCCTTCCAAACCCCTTTGTAACAAAAGGCATCACCTAACAACCCTTCAAATTCCACAGGACTTGGAGCAGAACCTTACTTACATCAAGCAGCAGAGAATGAGAGATCTTCAGGGCTCCAGCTTGCTCCCACAAATAGCTTGTGACCAGATGACCCCTTTCAAAGACCAGCCAAACTTTGGACTGATTGGCCTCTCCTACATGTGGCGATATGAACAGAAGGTGTCCATTCAGACCCTGATGCATCTCCTTCAGCAAGAACATGGAGAAAGTGAAGGGAGTCGCTATCCTGTTCTTCTGGAGCTCATGTCTAAGGTTTGCTGTGGAAAATTTCCTCCTCCTTCAAAGCAGAGACAGGCACTATGGCAATTCACCATTGTTGGTATCAGTGGGGCACTAAGTTGATTTATTTCCCTCTCTTTCCTAGTACAATGCCCTTCTCACAAATACCACATAATGCCAGACACAATCCTGGTTTCTCAGATAAATGTGTAGATTGCAAAGTCATGCTGAATTTTCCCTTCCAGATAAAAAACATCCAGCATGTCCAACACCTGCCTGACATTTTGAGTCTGCAGAAAGCTCTGATCCATTTCTTCCAGAACTGCCATGGAGGGGAAATATACTCAGTACAACAGTTTCTAGACCAACACGAACTTTCAGGTATGACATGGACCTATTCTGATCCCAATAAACTGGCTTCTACAACTCAATACCCATATACTCTGCTATTATGTTATAGCAGGACCTGTAATTTCTGTTGCAAGCTGTGAGGGAGCAGCAAACACAAGACTGCTCCATAAGGGAAGATAAGCCACAAGCTAAGGGTGACCAAAGTACAGACCAGGTAGAGACAAAGGTGAAGTCCCATAAGATCAGGGCAAGGCCAGGGCAGTGACAACAGGGTTCCTTCAAGATCCAGTGATCATAATACAAGGCAAGGTATTAAGTCCAGGAGGAGACTAGGAGGTCCAGTCAATAAGTTATGAGAGCAGGAGACAGGGCTGCTTACAACTCAGGCACTGTCCTGAGCTTACATGTGTCTCCTGGGCCCATGGGCAAGGGGTGAAGTGGAGTCTTCGGGTCAGGCTGATCAGGGCTATTAAGGTCTGTTAGTGCCCTCAGGGCCATGATGCAAGCTCACAGTGATCATCTCCACCTTTATGGCCACCTTTGATGTTTGAGGGAGAGGGTAGAGAACTCCAAGACACTGGAATGATCTCTGAAACATTAGAATGGGTCTTGGGCAGTTTGCTTCCCACCCTCAGAGTAGGTATAGCCAGCAGGACTTGAGAAACTTGTAGAGACTGCTTCTATGGTCAACATACCTATACAAGACAGGGTTTTAAAACCGGAAGATGGGGTATTAGCATGGTGCACATGAGCTGGGACTCAGCACCCCTTAATGCCAGATATGATATAATATGGGGTAGAAACAAATTAACTCTAATTAAGCTTGGAGCCACAGCTGTGAATGGCAGCCAAGGCCCAGTCTAACATAGCTTACTGTTTTTCGAGCAGACAGAAATAAATCTTTTTCAGTTCCTTCCTTTTGGAAGCATTCATTGACATTTCTGTTTTACTCCCTTCTCTGTGCCTGAAGAGGACCAACATTCAGCTTTCTGCCGAGCTATAGAGACCATCCAGAAAGTCTGGAGCAATATCAGAATGAAACCACTGTGTTCAGGTATTTAAACTTCTCAGGTACTGTTACCTTCTTTTCCTAAGCCCTTGATGAACTATGGAACTCATGCCAGTTGCTGCGCTTGCCTTGGTTTGACTTCCTAGCTGAGAAAAAAAAAAAAAAAAAAACAAAAAAAACCTTCAAAAACTACAAAACCTAATATAAAAAAAAAAAAAAAAATATTTCAACAAAGTCTATCCAGAGTTTCTCCCTTAGGAGAATTCTTCGTAACACCACATGCATCAGAAGAGAAACCCTCCATTTTGTTACAGATGTGAGAGTCATCCCAGACAAGTTGCCAAAGGACATCAATGCCAACACTCTGGTCCTGAAACTCCTCCCAACTCCGCTTTCTATTGGTTACCTTGTGACAAAGCTCCTCATACAGCTCCAGAACAGTTGTGTGGACACAGCTACACAGATCACAAAGGAAAAGCAACAGTAAATTTCAAATCATCCCTCTGGAGAAAATCAGAACTCATCTAGAACCGCAGTGTCACCGACTGCAAAGTGGGATGAGGTAAGAAGCAAGCTGCTATCCTTAACAGGTAACTTCTTTTCCAGGATCATCTCTGCAGAAGAAGTGAAACCATACTCCATGTTGAAGATAACTGAGAATGATCTGATCACTGCAACACTGGTCAACTCTCAGTATGAGATACATGAAGATGGCACCAAGACAACCCATTTTGACTTCCAGACACTACAGCAGCAAATAATCCAACGTTTTATCAGTGGGAAACCTATCATCAGAGCTCAGGTGAGCTTAGCACAATGCACTTTCAGCACAAGCCAAGTTGCAGTGCTCCAGGCCAGCAGATAGTATATGATTTTTCTTCCAGCAGCTGGTATCCACCTCTCCAGAGCTGGAGCAAACACAGGTGAAGGTACCTGTATGTTTGGCAGCCCACCCACCACTCTGCATCTATCTGCATTACTTGGACTGTGCGGTCAAAAACCACACTGTGCTCAGCAAACCTTGGTGCTGTGACAGGCAATGTGAGCCTTTCTCTTCAAAGCCTGCAGGGGAGGTTGGCCTGAATTATCTTAAAACCAAGGAAGAGTCAGACGCTATCTAAAAAGACTCAAGAGAGCTGAGTCCCTGGGCATACAGGCTGTATATAGGGCTGGACCTCTAAATCATACTGGAGAAGTCAGACTTCTGCTGTGGCAGACATCTTCACATCAGCCTTTGGCTTTTCTCCACAAGCTCTTGGGGGACCAGATTTGCAAATGGTTATTCTCATCTGAAAAGGCAGGCCAGAGATATACACCTCAAAATGTATGGCTTGTGGGACAGCAATGAATTTAAGTACCTAAATCCCTTCAGCCCCTTTAAAACTCTCAGGTGGTTATGTAGACTTCCTGTGAGGTTCTCCTACAACCACTGGTTGCCCCAGGTATTTCTTGTGTCAGAGGTAAAGTCTACTAGGTAGGATTTGTGAAATGTGAAAATCTGGCTTCGAGGGAGTAGGAATAAGGGGTTCAAGGATTATAACAGTCACATAGTGATTCTGGCTTACATGCTTGTCCAGTAGTAGAGTAGAATAGGCAGAGAAATTGACACACAGTCACAGAGGAACTTGAAAGAGTTTGGCTGGAGGAGCCTCTGGGTGTTTGTTTCTGGTCCAGCCATTTTCTTCAAGTAAAACTAACTGCAAAGTGAGAGCAGATTGTTTGGGGTGATGTACAGTGTATGGATGAATTTTGGAAATCTCCAGGGATAGAGATTCACCACCTCTCTGCCGCTCTGTTCTGGTGTTTTAGCACCCTTACTGGGAAAATGTTTCCTGTGTGCTTAAGTAGGAGGTCCCATGTTACTCCTTGTCCTTATTGCCTTCACTGATACCCCCCTTTTAGTAGTGGAAGTACAATTAGAAGTGCAAAAGCTCTCCCCATAAAGTTCTCTTTTACAGGGTGAACAATTGCTTGCATCCTGTTCTGCAGACACTCAATCATCTTGTTGGGCTCTGCTGGACTCACTTCAATTTGTCAATGTCTCATGTACCGAGGAACCCTGTATTGGATACAGTGCTGAAATGTAATCTTATGAATGCTGACTAGACGGAAAGAGTCATTTCCCTTGTTCTGCTGGCTACACTCCTGCTACTACAGCCCTTTGTGCACATGGTCTTTTTCACCATAATCACTGCTGACTCTGGTTCAACCTGTCCACCCAGGCACACAGATCTTTCCTGCAAAGCTGCTTCAGAACCAGTTTCCTATGATTGTCCATCCCAGATGCAGGATTTGCATTTGTCCTTGCTGAAGTTCATGAGGTTTCTATTAGTCCATTTCTTCAGCATGTTGAGAGCCCTCTGAGTGGCAGCCTTGCCCTTCAGCACATCAGCTCCTTTCCCCAGTTTGGTATCATCAATCAACTTCCTCAGATGGCATGTCAGTTGTTGCTGAAATATCTTAACATCAACAGCTTCCTCAGCATCACTTAATACATTCTATCTGGTCCCATGGACCTATGTATATCCAGCTGTTTTCGGTGTGGCCGAGATGGAGGTAATTTTCATCATAGCAACTTGTACAGTGCTGTGGCTTAGATTTGTGACCAAAATAGCACTGATAACACACTAATGTTGAACAGTGTTTGTACAGCATTAAAGGCTGCCTCCATTTCTCATTCTGTTCGCCCCTCCTAGTGAATAGATTGGGGATGTGCAAGAGACTGGGAGGGGGCACAGTGAGACAGATGACCTAAACTAACTGAAGAAGTATTCCATGTTGTATAATATGCTCAGGAATAAAATGGATAAGAGGGATTTTAGGATGGTTGGCCATCTTTTCTCAGAAGTGGCTGGGTGTCAGTGTACCCATTGGAGGTGGTGAGTTGCATTACCTTTGCATCACTTGTTTTGTTTTCTCACTTTTTTTCTCCTTTTCTTCTTTCACCATCCCACTGGAGGTAAGGGGAGGAAAGAGAGTAATCAGCTCGATGGTATAGTAGTGCCTAATTTGGTCCTTTTTTTTTTTTTTTTTTGTGACATGCCTTTAAACTTTGTCCATAAACAGAGGGGGTTGAAAGCGGACCTTTACAGTAAAAAGTGGGTCAAAGAAAGAACCAAGTATCACAATGAGAACCTTTTCTATATCCTTTTTCAGTAGGTCCCCTTCCCTGTTGAGCAGTGAGCCCAGTTTTCATCTGGTCTTCCTTTTGTTACTGATGTACAGATGTAGAAGCTCTTCTAGTTGGCCTTCACATCTCTCAGCAGTTTCACCTGCAAATGAGTTTTGTCTTTCTTAACTCCATCCTTGCATGTCCAAGCAATGTCTCTTATGTTCCACTTGCGTAGCCTGTCCCTGCTTCCGCCTCCCCTATACGTCTTACACTAAGCTGTCACTGCCGCCAGCCCTGCAGCCAAGACGTTGGTAGCTGTGTCTTACTCCATGGTCATGGGTTTTCCAGTTGGCCTGTGCCAAGTGATACTTTGTGTTTTCATATCCATTTACTTGCTTTCCAGACGGCTCCATTCTTTGAGCTGGACAGAATGAAGACCCTGAAGTACACAAAAACAAAAGTGAGAGAACATGTGCCTCAGGTACATAAAAAGCTTACCATCTTTTTTTTCCACCCAAGCTTTCTTATGTCTTGTAATGCTTATTAATAAGCTATATTAGGAAACAGAGAGCTCAGCAGAGAATATGGCACCTGCAGGATGTGTAAAAAGGTCCAAGTCCACATCAGGCAGATGGCTGGGGCCTCACAAGGAGCCAATTTTCTTTGCTGGCTGCAAAGGGAATAGAGTCAACTCACTCAGGTGGACTCATCTGTACACGTGTCTAAACCAACAGGACATGGTGACCACAGCATGCCATGCACTGGCATGGTAGATCAACACAAGTGTCAACTGTAGGGTTATTGTTCCTGCTTGCAACTAGGCTGGAAAGCCCATGTCCTTGTAGAGTCTGTGTCTTTCCCATGAAAACCCTGGATATCAGCCAGGTATCTCAAAGTCTGCCTCTGATTAGAGGGCAGAATTGATGCCAGAGGTTATACAGTTCCTTTGCTGTGAGCACACACTCGCAGGACCCAGATCTTATGTGTCAAAGTCACAGCATGTCTATATTTCTCCTATCGATAGGAATCAATAAATGTGAACACGCTGAAATGGGTCATGGAAGAAGCACGATCAGTGAATGCTATTTCCCAAACACTTGACACCTTGAAACTGGCTGCTGAATTCCTGGCTGTGACTGGTGGGAACCCAGAGCGCCAGTTGTCTGAGTATGTAAAAAATGAGCTGAAGATGGATGCAAGTGCACAACAGTTCAGAGACATATTGGTAAGCAAGGCACTTTTTTTGTACTAAACAGAAAAATGGCTAAGCGTTACCATCCCTCATGCCCTTCCCTAAGGATTAAGACATCACCTTTTAGGTCACACACTTTTTTGTGACCTAACCTAGAACATTGCTAACTCAGCCACAGCCTTTCTGAAAAGCAGGAATTGGCTGACTGATTGCCTATCTGTTTTTATCTCTTCCAGGGGGTAGCAAACTGCCAGCTGAAGCACATCCTGTCTCTGTGGCAAACATTGTCAGCAAAGAGATCTATACTGTTGGTGCAGATGAATCAGGTGAGGGAAACAGCCCAGTTCACAAAACTGTCTACAAGAGCTAGGGGAAGACATAAACTTTTTGACAAAGCTGATTTTGTGTGGAAAGTTTTGGAAATTTTTAGGAAAAAAAATATGTGATATTAGTATCTTACCACTCAGCAAAAGCCAAGCATTATTCATCTGCTTAAGTCATGTAATACCTTTGGAAAAGGGCCATCCACAAGATTTTGTGCTAGAAGCAGTGGTGCTTTCTGGCATGGGTCACATAAGCTGGTGCTGTGGTCTCTAATGGCGGCCTGGCATAAGAGCCAGGAACAAAGAGGTTTCCAGTTCTTCTATCAGATGTAGCCCCAGATGGTCTTTGCAGCAAGTCCCAGGCCATCCTCTTGCTGATGTTCTTTGTTATTATAGAATCCTTTCTGCCTGGTTTCTGAGCAGTATCATGAGGAATTGAGTGAAGAGAAGGCGGCGGCTCTGACTACTGCGCTTTCTGCAGTTAACCTGCATTTGTTCCTTATTGAGCTCCATGAGATGATCATTGTGCACCTGGACAGCTTTGATCCACAGTGGGGGTATGAGCAGATTTTTCCTGGTTTATTCCAGGGGTAGGTACAAACTCTAGACCCAGGTGGAAGAGGTCTTGGAATCTCTTTAAGGTGGGCTCTTGAAGCTTGCTAGAGAGAAGGGCCGTCTCTTCCAAAAGTGGGAGTTGCCTCATCTGTGATAAGCATCATTGAATCCTTTTGTGATGCCCAGCTAAAAGGAGTGGGAGTAAAATACAGCAGGAACCCCAGCATCTTCAATTCATCTTGCATGTCATGGGGAAGCAAGACATCCAGTACAAATAATATCATCATGGAGATTTAGGTTCAATGTTTTTCTTGTGCTGGGAGCACAAAATCGGACACAGTCCTCCAGATGTGATTTCACAAGTGCCAGCAGAGTAGAAAAATTACTTTCCAGCTGGCTATATTCTTGTTAAACAGCTCAGTATGTGTCTGGCCTTAGGGAAAAATAAAAGGGATCATGTAAGGGAACAAAAAAGGTGCCCCTTATACGGGACTAGTGAGAAAACCCAGTGTGAGGATATGGCCACACCACCTCCCTTTCCCTGTTTCTTGCATAAGAAACATCTCCTAATGCCACAGTGACAGCATCACAGACCCCATGAAGGAGGGGGCAGGGGATATATTGAGTTGAGTACAGATAGTTTCAGTGCGCTGTTGCACCTGAGATGGGAGAGGTGGTTGGTGATGCTGTTTAGCTTTGAGAAGGCCACAACCAGTATTTGGGTATTGTTGACAATGCTGAGCAACAGTTGCCCACATTGTTGTCTGATACCACCAGAGATACCCCAGATATACTGCCTGGCTTCCAGCTGCAAGGCCATCTCAGGGGAACCAGTGCAGAGTGCCAGCATTGCCTGCCAAAGGTCATGGGATTTGGAAACCCAGCAGTCCTCCAGACACTTAAAATTGTGATCTGTCTCACCCACAGGCTAAAGGAAACTTTCAAAGATTTCCTGGGAGACAGGCAAGATGATGCCTCCATTGTAAACCTGACAGGCTGTTTGAGTCCAGACCTTCTACTGAAGAATGTTGTTTTTATCTGGAAGACAGCTCTGAGGACCAGCAAGCCTCTTAGCTCTACTATTCAGAAGGGACCAACCTAACCTTTGCTAAGTCCCCCAGGAATTAACTCACCAGCAGCTTCCCCAATCCAGTTATCAATGCCCTGAGTGCCTTAATTGTCCTGATCAACCTCACCCAGAATTTCTTTCCGTGCACCCACTGTCTACTGGTCCTGAAGTTCCACTTAAACTCAGCTTGGGCCTCTCTCCCTGCTTGAGCTATGCTGTAAGTGTATTGATGTCCAGCCCTGTGCCCTGGCAGTCCTGATTTGTTCACTAGCTTTCCTGCACTGACCTTGAACCACTGTCATCACCTCACTTTGTTTGATGATCACTGGCCAGTAAACAGAATCTGGTTCTGCCCAGGTTCTGTGAGACTGTACCTGGTCTGTGGTTATACTGTCCTGCCTCTGCTGGGGTCACCCTCTGCTTCCAGCTCATTTTCCTGTATGGAACAGCCCCACAGCTGCCATTCTATGACAAAAAATGTACCCACCAACCATTCAGCTTGTTGCCAATTTAATGTATCCAAGTTTCAGAGCAGGTTACCAAAAAAAAAAAAAATAAATCAGATGTAAAGAGGGTGGGAAAGGGAACCTCATTTTAATGCTTAGTAATATATTTGTGCTTTTTTCTAATAGCTGTGATATCATATTCAAGGCAGCAAAAGCAGTGTAAGCAAAAATACACCTAGAAATAAAAGCAAAAGCAAGAAGCTTACAGCAGCTGCAGCACTGCAGCATAGATCAGCAGTGGTACATTCACAGTAAAGATACACTTCACAACTGCAGTGAAGACCCATTTTATACTCATTGTTCCAGAGTTCAAGGATTCTGGGTTGAGAGAAACGCAACACAATGAATAATCATAACTGATTTATTAATACGGGGAAAATATAGAGGTAACAAAAGATACTGTAAAGGATATCTCTGATGTTTGGTTGTCTTACCAACCCCAGAGACCATGTGATGACGATCAGGAAACCAGCTCTGAGAAACATCATCACATTGTGAGGTGACAGGCTCCCTTAGCGGGAGTCCCCGAGGAGGCAACATTGACCTGGGTGGTATGAGGGTCTGCGTCTCCACATCGCATGAGGCTTGGGCTTTTATACTAACAAAAATGCACACTCATTCTGGCACAGGGGGCCAGCCTACATCAGAAGAAGTGGCCAGCAATAGTGGCCAGACCTTTCTAGGAAAGGTCTCCAAGGGTCAGGACTTTTCCAGGGAGTTCTAAAGCGGAACTTTCTGAGGAGGAACCAAAGCTGGACTTTACGGGAGCAGCCCAAGCGGGACCTTCCGGGGAGGAGCCAAAGCGGACAAACAGTACTTTCCTATCTTTGTGTGTTTCACCACAGACCATTACCTAGTGTCACTGACACACCCACACTTGAAGACTGCACCTTGAGAGAGATTGTACATCAGTCTTTCAGCTGACCCACAACAAAACTTCAGTTTTGGTCATCCTGACCTAGAAGTATGTTCTGTTCTTATTGGTCCCAACTTTTGTTTCTTTGATAACATAGAATCATAAAAAGATTTAAGTTGGAAGGCACTTTAAAGCTCATCTCGTTCCAACCCCCTGCCATGGGCAGGGACACCTTTCATAGACCAGGTTTGGAGTGATCTGTATCCCCAAAATTGATCCCATTTCCCAACATTGAATTCCTCTGGTGACGAGTGATTGACGGTGAGTAGGTTAGATCTTTGTGGCTTCAAGTATCATCTTGTACCTATATCTTCAAGGCTGTCACTTTGATTCCATGCCTGTACTCCTCTTTGCATTTTTATTCTAAGGTCATACACACTTTTTAATGCATATAGTAAGTACTTGTTACTAGCATTAGTCACTATGTATCTCTGCGTGTGTGTGTATATTTATGTATATATACATGCATATATTTAGATTTACACATATACTGAGGTAGGTGAGTAAGGTTAAAGTAAGGCAGTTCTGCCCAAAAAAGCAGAAAATGTAAATCAAATGCTACCAGTGTGGACCATACAGTCAGGATTTATGGCATACTTCATCTAAAGAATTGTATCAGTAACACCTTAATGGGACTAAAGCACCCAAGGTAACAGTGTCAGAAACACTGAATTTGGGTATGAATGTAACAAACAGAATTGTAACCAATGAATAATTAAAGATTGCTTACTTGGGAAAAAAAAAGAGCCACAATGAAGGCAAAAATGTGGGTGCAGAAAAAGGAAAAGAATGGGCAGTGAGGTATAAGATCAGGTGGAGAGCAAAGAAGGGTGAGAAGCTTCTGACGGAAGGAGCGCAGATGCCAAAGCTGTGCTGTGGACCCAACACTACTAGCGATGCTGGAAGGAACCCCCTTGGAGAATACACTGGTCTCTCCACCAGAGAAGACCAGCTGGCTCACAAGACTTGGTGTGGGATGATGCCGTAAAGATGCACAAACTCATAAGGAAGCATAGACTTCATACCTTAATACTATGTGCAGGAAGAAAGACAACAGAATTGCATCTTAATAAGTGCTTGATTTGTAAGATTTCTTTGTAGTAATATAATTATATATCAGTACTAATACTAGTAATAAGCAGTAGAATCATCGCTCCATATTACTTGCAGTGGCACAATTGTGAATTAAGCTACCTAACAGTGCTGTGTTTATAACGTAGTTAAGATGTCACAAGCTTTTTAGATGTGTGTTTTGCTTAGTTAATAAACATCATTAGCATCCTAGTTCACTAGTTCTCAAGCCTCCAATCAAATGGAGAAGAGCTGGACTTGGGGAGTAACTGCTTTCTACCCCTGGGAAGAACAGGAGACAAAAAGAGGCAATTTGACACACAGTTGGACCTTCTCTCAGCAAATTAAAAAAAAAAAAAAGTGCTTTTAAATAGCACTTTAAACTCTCTAAGGAGGTGTAAATCCTTTACAGACCTTTCTAGGACCTGTGGCCACATACCCTATTGGCATAGTGGAGAGATTAGGGGTGATTGGAGCTGCTTAGCACACTTAAAGGGGTGTGATCGGGGATAGATGATGACTCCATTTTTGAAAGAGGGAACAGTGCCATGGTAGGCCATGATTGCCTCTCTGCATTTTCCTCCAACACAAAAGTACAACTATGTCCAGGTTTAGAGTGAAAAGCACATGGAGTGGTGGGTAAGCCAACATGTTTGGACTACAGCACTCCCCAGACAGTGGCCTTGGAATTTGACCAGGCATTTCCCTCTCCACTTGAATGAGAAACTTCTTTTTCATTCCCTCCCAGCACAAGGTCTCCCACATTGGTCAGATATTCCTTGTTTGAACCTTGGTGAAGACAAAGACTGACCTTACCACATATTGTTGCCCAGGCAGTCAGCTGGTGGCATCTTCATCCTTGGAGTCATTGAACACTCACTTGGCCATGGCTGATGTCAGCCACATGCAGCTGTTGGAGGCCATCAGGGCAATCTGGGCTGGGCTTCTTGAGTTCTTCAGCTTCACCCATCCATCCATCCATTCATGGCTTCATGCAGAGGTGCCATAGAGCCCTCAAGTGCCACAGGAGCAAGTCAAGGTTAACCAGAACAGGTTCAGAGATTGGGAAATGTTTGAGCCTTGGCCACCACCTATTTCAAGGCTTTTCTTTACAGCCAGGATGTAAAGAGGGAAGGATGGAAACTTGTATCATCTGTCAGAGTTCACCCAAGAGGAAACTAAATTCTTCCAATCTCACCCTAGGCATACAAGTTTGATTTTACTAATACATCAAAATACATCAAAACTTCTGCTTTTTGCTTTGTGACACATTCCCAGCAAAACATAAAGCCATAAATCACAGAGCAGTGGGATGACTGATTTAACTTAATAAAGGGACATGGTAGGAGGAGAAAGTAAATCATACAGATAGGCTTGATTTGTGGTTAAAAATGTGATGTGCCAGCCTATGTACACAGACAAAACATACAACTTACAGTTCTCCCCAGACCACTGCAACTCAGCACTATTATTACCATGCTGTTCAAACATCCTGCTGATACACTCCAATTACTGCCAGTTCTTTTGCTTAGAAGAAACCTTTTGGTTCTGCTCAGGAGTAGAAAATCTCAATGAAGTTCCTAGTGCCCACCAATGTAGGTCTCTGCTTGGTGTGCTACAGCCTGCATGGTGGACTCAGACTGACCTTACTCAAATCAGGAGAGACATGTCATGGTCCTGGAGACCTGGTACCAGCAGCACCCATTTCTTCACATGAGCAGTGCAGAGAACCACCTGAGTCCCCTTCCCTCTTTCAAAAGGCTGTTCCACCATTTCCAGCAGCAGCTGGGAATGTAAACCTCTGTCTGCAATCCCAGCCATTACCCCCTTAATTCTCTTGAGGCCAACAGCCTGTGCCCAAGGACCCAAAGCCCATCTCATGGCTGCATGGCCATGGCTTAGGCTGCTGCAGGCATTGCACAGTCATCAGAAGGAACCACAGGGCATCTGTAGAGCAGAAGCAAAGGACACAAGATGACACTACAGGAACAGGTAGGGTGGTTGAGATGGCATTGCTACCATAGCTCAAGGGCTCATGAGTAAAACCCCACTGTGGGAAGGAACCATCAAGAAGCAAACAGGGAGGTGAAATAAGGAAACACCATTGAGGATGTGCTGGGGCTGCAGAGACCAACTCTTCTCCCTGTGAGGTGGTGCCTGCGCAGCCAGCAAGGCACTGGGGTTGTGTATAGGGCTGGTGAGCTCCCTGTGATCCTTAAGCCCCAGCTACGCTGTGTGTGTTAGCTAGCAAAAACTAGCTTTGGCCTTTGGAGCTGTGTGAGTCCTGCTTGAGACACATCCTTGCATGGGCTGAAGGGTGCCCAAACACTGTGACCCCAGTGGAAGGCTCAGATCTCACTGCACCACAACCCAGATGCAAACAAGACTGCTCACAGGGGGAAAGATAGACTCCACAGCAAAGTTTAGGATTTGGGTCTTGCGGTATGAGCCCAGCCATGGCAGCTGGTGAACTCATGAGCAAAAGTGCTCCGGAAGACACAGGGAAAGCATTTACAGTCTGCCAGGACAGCACTAAAGTCAAGACGATTTATCAAGGTTGCTTTGGGCTTTGTGGAAAGTTGCAGCTACATTAACAAGTATACTAAAAGTGGTAGAGGGAGGGGTTGGAGAGAAAAGGGAAAGACAGGTTTAAAATAAAAGATCGATGAAGGAACAGAGGCAGAAACGTGTGCTGCTGAAGCAGAGATCCTACCACCTGCATCAGTCTGGGAGTGAGCCCAGGCAGGATGCAACAGACAGCTTAGAAGAGCTGATACAGCAGAAACCTGAAATAAGGATCCAGATCAGCAACAAGCATCTGTGAGCACAATTGCAAGACAGACTCAGCATCCTGGATCTGATGCTTTGGTTTGCCAGAGGACTGAGTCTTTGGAAGAGCCATGCAGCAGCAGGCTGTGGCTGCAGCCCTGCCAAAGGGATTCCTGGGGGAGATATTGACCCCTGGGCCAGGGCCAGGGCTGATCCCAGGCTAGCTCATGTGGAGCCACCAGGTTACTCCCCTCCCCTCTGACTGCTCCCCACCTTCTTGCTGTGGAGAGCATGACATAACAGGGCAACTCCAGGCCTGGGAGAAGAGCAGCATCATGTCCCACATGGATGACAGAGTGGAGCAAGGCTGACTCCTCAGGACTTGTGGAGACCCTTATCCTGGCTGCTGGCTGCAGCCCATTAGGCAGAACTGCCAGGGGAGGCTCAGCCCAGTACCAAGCCCTAATACAACGTGTGGGGATGGCATCCACAATCAAATAGTATCAGGCTATGGATGCC